AATTCTTTTCTTTAAGAATGTTGAATATTGGCCCCCACTGTCTTCTTGTTGGTAGGGTTTCAGAGAGATCCACTGTTAGCCTGACAGGCTTCCCTTTGTGGGTAACTTGACGTTTCTTTCTGGCTGCCCTTAACATTTTTTCATTTCAACCTTGGTGAATTTGGTGATTATGTGTTCTGGGGTTGCTTTCCTTGAGGAATATGTTTGTAGTGTTCTGCATATTTCCTGAATTTGAATGTTGGCCTGCCTTGCTAGGTTGGGGACATTCTCCTCAGTGTTTTCCAACTTGGTTCCATTCTCCCTGTCACATTCAGCTACGCCAATAAAATGTAGATTTGGTCTTTTCACATAGTCCCATATTTCTTGGAGGTTTTGTTAGTTCCTTTTTATTCTTTTTTTCTCTAATCTTGTCTTCTTGCTTTATTTCATTAACTTGATCTTCAATCTCTGATATCCTTTCTTCTACTTCTGATATCCAATCTTCTACTTCTTCAAGTAGAAGATTGGCAAGTATCAATTTGGCTATTGATACTTGTGTATGCTTCATGAAGTCCACGTGTTGTGTTTTTCAGCTCCATCAGGTCATTTATGTTCTTCTCTAAACTGGTTATTCTAGTTAGCAATTTGTCTAACCTTTTTTCAAGGTTCTTAGCTTCCTTGCACTGGGTTAGAACACGCTCCTTTAGCTCAGAGGAGTTTGTTATTACCCACCTTCTGAAGCCTACTTCTGTCAGTTTATCAAACTCATTCTCCATCCAGTTTTATTCTCTTGCTGGCAAGGAGTTGTGATCCTTTGGCAGAGAAGAGGTATTCTGATTTCTCCCCTCCTTTGTGGATTTATCTACCTTTGGTCTTTGATGTTGGTGACCTTCAGATGGGGTCTTTGAGTGGATGTGCTATTCCTTTCTGTTTGTTAGTTTTCCTTCTAATAATCAGGCCACTCTGCTGCAGGTCTGCTGGAGTTTCCTGGAGGTCCACTCCAGATTCGGTTTGCCTGGGTATCACCAGCAGAGGCTGCAGAACAGCAAAGATTGCTGCCTTTTCTTTCCTCTGGAAGCTTCATCCCAGAGGGGCACCTGCCAGATGCCAGCCACAGCTTTCCTGTATGAGGTGTCTGTCAGCCCCTAATGGGAGGTGGCTCCCAGTCAGGTACCCAACTTGAGGAGGCATTCTGACCCTTAGCACAGCTCGAATGCTGTGCCGGGAGGTCCACTGCTCTCTTCAGAGCCATCAGACAGGGAGGTTTAAGTTTGCTGAAGCTGTGCTCACAGCTGTCCCTTCCTGCAGGTGTTCTGTCCCAGGGAAATGGGGGTTTTATCTATAAGTTGCCTGGGGCTGCTGCCTTTTTTTTTTTCAAAGATGCCCTACCCAGAGAGGAGAAATCTGGCAGTCTGGCCACAGCAGCCTTGCTGAGCTGCAGTGGGCTCCGCCCAGTTTGAACTTCCCGGTGGCTTTGTTTACACTGTTGAGGTAAAACCACCTACTCAAGCCTTAGCAATGGCAGATACCCCTCCCTCCACCAAGCTGGAGTGTCCCAGGTTGATCTCAGGCTGCTGCTGTGCTGGCAGTGAGAATTTCAAGCCAGTGGATCTTAGTTTGCTGGCTCCACGGGGGTAGGACCTGCCTAGCCAGACTACTTGGCTCCCTGGCTTCAGCACCCCTTTCCAGGGGAGTGAACAGTTCTGCCATGCTGGTGTTCCAGACGCCACTGGGGTATGAACAAAAAAATAGCTCTTGCAACTAGTTCATTTTCTGCCCAGATGGCCTCCCAGTTTTGTGCTTGAAACCCAGGGCCCTGGTAGGGTAGGCACCGGAGGGGGTCTCCTGGTCTGTCGGTTGCAGACACCATGGGAAAAGTACAGTATCTGGGCTGGAGTGCATGGTTCCTGATGCTCAATGTCCCACACTGCTTTGGCTCGCCCTCTGTGGGCTGCACCCAGTGTCTAACCAGTCCCAGTGAGATGAACTGAGGTACCTCAGTTGGAAATGCAGAAATCACCTGCCTTCTGCAGTGATCTCACTGGGAGCTGTTCCTATTTGGTCATCGCCTGCTGAGCTCTTATCTTCCTTTTATAGATGCATTGTCTGAAGTAAATTGCAGCACCTGCACACCACAACAAGTTGGCTGACTTCAAAGTCTTTACCTCTTACCACTGTTTCTCCATGTGAGAGAAATGTGCCCTCTTTTAAGGGAACAACATTTTGCATGGATCCCCTTAAATAGTTTTAAGACATCTGAAAACATAAAACTAGTTATTAATTTATTATACTTACCCCCTTAAATAGTCATAGCCTGAATCTGTCAGGATAGGCAGTAATAACAAAAGTCCCTCTTAGTGGTTGCAAACATTGATTGTTTCTCTGAGTAGCAGGGAGCTCATCTGACCCAGCAGCCACCAATACTGCACCAGTCAAGTCCTGGCAAGAGACAAAAAGGACACCTAAACTGAAGTCTTTGAGGAGCAGTTTATCTGTTATTTATTTGCACTATTTACAAGGCAAAGGAGGCGTTAGGGAAAGCGGTTAAGTTACAGTTTACTACCAGAAGGCTAGAAATGCTTAGCCAGCCTTTCCATGAAGACACAAGGTGGGGAAGCAGTTACCAGCACCTGGAGAGTGACTGGCAGAGGGATGCAGCCAACCCAGACCGACCTGGCACACGGAGCCAAGGGACTTATTCCTACTCTTTGGACCCCATTCACCTCCTGCCCTGCAGTCTCCTGCCAGAACACTCCATGGGGCAAATCCAACTGGAAGTTAGAACGGAAGGGAGACCATGGACCCAGTTTCTACAGACCCGCTTCCAGAGGAGGCACAGAGGAGTTGGGACGCACCTGGAGCAGCACACAGGGAGATATTGCGAGAGGCAAAGGCAGTGCTGGAGAGACTCACACTGCAGCTAAATACTGTGGAGCGTCACTTCGCACTCATAACTCACCGGCCAGAACTAATCATGTGTCCTGCTCACCGTGCCATTTTACCACATGTCCAGAAAGAGAAGAACAGGCTGTCTGTGGCAGCCACAAACCCAAAACAAATTTACAGATTAAATACAAAGAAGATGACAGAATCCAAACTATTACAGTCAGTATTGCTTTGCTAAAACTCAGTCAACCACCCAGGACATGAGCACATCCAACAGGTCCTCTGAGTTTGGCTTGCCTCTGCTTCCGCGTGCCTTGTGACAACTCAGTTCTCCCACGAACACATCAGCATCCATGAAGTCATTTGGTTTTCACTTGGCAGGAGTGTGCCATTTACATTGCAATTTCCCCTCTGTTCTTTTCTATCTAGACTGCGTCAATTATTGTAGTGCTAATTGTTACAGACAGGACCACAATGCCAAGGCAAATGGGGACAATGAAATCAGTGGCTGGTTTTAAGGTGGTTATCTATATGGTCCGGAAAAATGCTTATATTAATTTTTTTGGATTGCCATTGAATCGGAAACAAAGTTCAGCAATTCTCATGGAGAAGCCAGAGATCTCTTAGAAACAGCTTCTACTAGTCCTTTCTTTTTCCTCCTCCTCACCCCAGCACAGGGAAAGCAGAGGTGGTAATACCCTAGTGCACCTGGAAGGTGCAGTTCTTGCTCCTTCCACCCTCATTCCTCTGCTTTCTCACCTTCTCCTCCTTGCAGTGTGTCAGTGCCTTCCTTAACTCACATCCTTACCCATCAGCCCTGACGCCTGGGATACTCTCTTCATTGTCTTCAGCCCCAACTATTTTAAGTAATCCCTGAGTCACACATCTGAACATGTTTCTGCCATATAACGACAAGCTGAGGTTTCCTGAGAACATTTTCTTACTCACGACAACTCTCCGCTGATATCACCCTCTCACATCTACGTGACCAGAGCAGTCCAGGTCTCCAAGCCCTGTGTAGTACGTACCTACCTTAGAGCCCTCTGGATAGGCCTCAAGTGATCTCTTCACATTCTAAAATTGAATGCAACATTTTATGTGTAGGTATTCAAGTACATCTTGCTTGTGGGAGGAGAGGTTGTCCAGAATTTCATCAGATTCTCAAAGAGGTCTGGGACCTAATGAATGCTGATGTTTTTTTCTGTTTCACACTGTTCATTGAAAACTTCATGATACTCATTTCCATTTTACAGAAAACTTCTCTGTACTTCTGTTAAAACAAAATAATGTATATAAGATCCTCCATTTATATATGTAAATATATATATATATATATTTGAATGCAGACACTATGCCAAACACTGTCTGTGGTCTACCTTTAGCCAAGTGTCCCTTGTCTTTTCGGGAAGAGCCTGATTTTGAATGGATGTTCATTCTCCAGTGCATCAGATATGTTGGCTTCCTTCTTCTTCCAGTGGTTAATCATGATTTAACTAAGCTATTATTGCACAACGAATTATCACAAACTTAGTAGCTTAAAATAACACATGTAATGTCACAGTTTCTATCAGTCAGGAGCCTGGCCATGGCTTACCTGGGCCATCACAAGGCTGGACTCAAGAGTCAGCCTGGCTGTGTTCTCTTCTGGGAGCTTGACTGGAGAAGAATCTGCTTCCAAGCTTACTTATTTTCTCGGGGTTGTGGAATACAGGGTGATTGTGGAATATAGAGTTTTTGTTCCTTGCTGGCTGTTGGCTTGAGGCTGCCCACTTAAAACCTTTCCACCTGGCTTAATTCATCAAGCCAGCAAGCAGAAATCTCAGGGAGACAGAGCCTTATATAAAGTGACATAATGTAATCACAAACGTGACATTCTAACAAAACATACTCAAGGATGTTTTCACTCACACACCTTTGCCATCTTCCATTGGTTGGAAAAAGTCTCGTATCTCACTCACATTCAAGGCAGAAGGGATTATACAAGGGCACGGATACCAGAAGGCAGGGAATATTGGGGGCCACCTTAGGGTTTGTGCACAACATAAACCAGTCTGATGATTTTCATTTTCTTGACAGTAACTCATACATCACCAATGAGAACTAAGAGGATGTCTTACATTTCCTTCCATCCACAGGGCAGGTGCAGAGGATCCAGCATGTTATTCTGAAATCCCAGAAGATGCTGAAGCTGCTAAATAGAAGGAGGCTGGATCCCTGAATGTCTTCATGGAGCAGAACGTTCTCCTCACTCTGGTCTGCTTGAACCAGAATGACCTGAGCAAGAAATAAGCCTTAATTGTATTTGACCATTAGAATTTTGGTGATAAGTCCATGTTGATTAATACAAAGGGATTCTGTAAAGGCTCTTCTCTCTATTGAAAAAGGCTCTTCTCTCTATTGAAAAAAAGTTGCCCAAGGAGTGAAGGGAGAGATATTTTCTATAATTAAGATTGTCATATTCACATAGTACATAGAACAACTACAGCACCTTTCAGTCATATGGGGTTCAACAGAAAGAGGAAACATTTCCTGCTGTTGAATTAACCAAACTGGAGTTGTTATATAATATAGTAAAATTTCCTCAATCTTTCAGCCACATTTAGTTCAGTAATCTATTATTTCTGGTTAAAAGCATACCATTTGATACACAATCCAAACCCAATTCTTAATAACCTGTATCCACCGTATCTTACCACATCCCGAATCATCTAATACTCAACCACCTAGTTTCTATGATCCACTTACATCAAACATATTCATGTTTGGAAAATTGAGCCAGCGTCTACTGCCTTATCAGCTAATGCATAACAATTTACTTTTTCTGTGCTCTATAATAATGCAAGTCTGCTTGGAAAGATAACACATTAAGGGGTTATCAGACCCTAACACCTTGATATAGATGAGTTTATCAGATCCTCTGTTTAACCACTTTCGAATCCTTGGCCAGTTCTCTACATTTCATGAAGAGTTAGCATAACCAGACCAGGAGATATTATCTTCAGGATGTGGTCAGTTGTAGAAAAGATAGCTCTGAGGATCTCTTTCCAGGGAAAAGACATGTGGATTGCTCCAAAGATCCTCTTTCTCAGGAAAATGCACATGCTACAGAAAGGCTACAGAAAATAAAAGCACTCCCTCATTAACATATTCACAGTCTATTTTGTTCGAATTACAGGCCAATCCTTTTCAGATAGTTGAGTCCAGAGAGGACTGGGAGACTGCCTGACCCCACGGGGTACTTGACGAGGTCAGATTCCAGGGCCTATTGGAAGTGACAAACTAAGGCAGAGATGGCTGGTGGGCTGTTAAAACCAAAGGGGGCGAATGCTCATGGATGAGTTAAGAGGCTCCTAACCCTGGGGAGCACATACAGAGGGAGGGGTGTCCTTCTGTTACACAACCTGAATTACTGGAGAAGGGCCTACTGGTGTTCCCCTCAATACAATGCACCTCCACTTCTGAGAGAGGGGAAGGGGGAAAAACAGACGGAGGGAAGGAGAGAGAGAAAGAGAGCACTATCTCCCTCCCTTCTCTCTTTCCCTTCCTCTTATCTCTCTGTGGATCTCTTTCAAGTACTCCTAGAAGAATCTGGAGCTAAAATGAGCCCGCATCTGAATTTTACTCCTGGCTCTGCAACCGATAAGCTATGTAATCAAGTCCCTTCCTTGCTTCTTTCTTTCTCACACACACACACTCTCTCATCAAATGCTTGTGGGTTCTTACTCTGACAAGTCAGGCATTGTGCTAGTTACAGGAGATAATCTGAAAAGAAAATAGCTCCTTCTTATCAAATGATGACAGACCAGGTGATCTCACAGGTATATATTGATGACTAGGTTCTTCTTGCTAGCTCTGCTTATGCACCTCCCTCCTTCAAATCAGTATCCTCACCTGCTTTCCCAAAGCCCTTTTGCTATTCCTTCTCCCTCTGAAGCACCCTTTTTGACCTAATATCGAAAGGCATCACAGCCCTTTCCCTCCCCCACGCCACCCATCCTCTTCCCCAGCATCAACACCAGGCTGCCCTGAATGCTGTGCTTTCACTTCTCCATCAGCACGCAGTTACTAATCCCTTAATGTGACCGGAGCAGAAGCCTAAATAACTGCTCCATAATCCCCTAGTATTTGAGCATCCAAAATAACATTTGCATTTTCATTAGGGTCTTAAATGCTCTGGTGGCTTTCTTTTTAAAAATTAGTAATTTAAGTATTTATTTTTTAAAAATTCAAACATAGATATAGATATGTTTATGTAGGACTGCATAAAGATTTATACTTTTACAGAATTACATAAATGTGATTACATTGTACATAGCTTTTTGCTTTCTTTCTTTTCTTTGTGTCTTCTTCCTCTCTCCAACCTCCTCCATACTAATAATTCTCAGCCACAAATCCTCCACAAAACCATGGAACCTATGTCAGCCTTTTATGTATCCTTCCATATTTTTCTCTATTTGTCTAGACTCACACCAGCGTCTAACGATATATGTGAAAGGATGTTCTTGGAGTACTGTTGTTAGTGGCAAAGAATGATTGAATGAATTCTGGTACAACAATATATTTCAGTTAGGCTAGGCTGCGTGTTGATATGGAGTAACTCCAAAAGCTCAATAACTTAAAATAATAACAATGGATTGATTGCTCATACTATATGTCCAAGTCAAGCCAGTAAAGGACTCTGTTCCCCGGGGTCATTCAGGGACCCAGGCTGATGGAACGAACATTACCTTAAATATTTCCAGTTGCTGTGCCACAGGGAAATGAGTTCTGGAGGGCCTTGAACCAGATGATTAAATGCTTCAATGCAGAAGTCATAATTCCTTGGCTATGACTAGTCACATGGCCCTATTCAGCCAAAGATGAGCCAGGAAGTACAATTCTATGTACATGTGTCTGGAAAAGAAGACAATATTGGTGAATAGCACTAACAACCACCACATACCCTGCACTGTATCTTTATCTATTAATAAAGAGGAAAGAATAATAACATGTCAAGCAACTTAGAGGGATTCTACCAGGAATTGTTGAATGAGAAAATACAGATACAGCTAAATGAGTAAGGAATTGCATTTTTTGAAACAATGGCTCAAAAATCTCTACATATGGATTTGCAAGTGTTTATAGGAATATATGTGTATATATATGCTATAGATATATATGCTTACCTAGTTATTATCATACATTCTTACATCATAATTACCCTGGGACCCTTGTTAAATGTTAGAATTCCTGGGCCCCAACCCTGACCTAGTGAATCCAGTCTGGTCTGTGCATTAGTGAGAGAGCCAGGGCCTCACACCCAAGGCTGAGTCCTTTATTCCACCACATGTAGCCCTCACCATGGTGATCCACTGATTCCTAACAACTTCCTAAAGAAAAATATTGATTCGTTGATTTATCAATTTGCCCATCCTTTTATCTACCAAATATTTATGGAGACTCGACTATCTGCAGGGACATTGCTAGATGCTAGGGATGCAGTAGGGGACAAAGCAAACTTGATCCTGTTTTGATCTTACAGTCTAGGGTAGGAAAAACGTTTAAAAAGAGGACACCTCATTAATTCACATGTATGTATAAATTGTGATAAGGCCTAGGTAGGAAGAGAGTGTCATAGACAAATATAGTCGAGGGACAACATTTAAATTGGGGAGCTAATGATGATGACTCGCAGTAAAGGCTAAGTAGAGAACTATTGGGGTGGAGACCCTATAGGCACGGGACACAGAGCTGAGCGTAGAGCAGTGGGGCTACCTGTGCGGAGGGCCACAGAAGGGAATAATAGTAGGCCAGTGTGCCTAGAAGACAATGACCTTGGAAACAGTGGTGAGAGGTGGCACCAGGGCATGCAGGGCCCTGTAGAATGCGGTGAGGAGTCAGGGCTTTAAGTGCAGTGGGAACTGTAATGGTTAGAAGTAAGCAGGTCAGAAAGACCTGATATATGTTGTCTTTTTACAGCAACTTTAGTGAGTTATAGCTTACATACAATAAAATGCCCTCACTTTAAATGTTCATTTTGATGAGTACATAATACAAATATATATTCAGATATATGTATACATGGATACACTCACACAAATGTATATGTCTTTATAGCCACCACTACAATCAAGATACATAAAATATCAGGACTGGGTACAGTGGCTCATGTCTGTAATCCTAACACTTTGGGAGGTTGAGGTGGGAGGATTGCCTGATCCTAGGAGTTTGAGGCCAGCCTGAGCAATACAGTGAGACTCTGTCTCTATGAAAAATAAAAATACATTTTAAAAAAGTGTAGGATATTTTTATCATATCAAAATGTTTTCTTGTGCCTTTACACAATCAGTTTCCACTCCTGGCTCTAGATAACCCTGATCTATTTGCTGTGACTTTATTTTTAAGTTCCAGGGTATATGTGCAGGTTTGTTACACAGGTAAACGTGTGCCACAGTGGTTTGCTGCACTTATCGACACATCACCTAGGTATCAAGCCCAGCATACGTTAGCTGTTTTTTTCTAATGCTCTCCCTTCCCTCACCCTGCCCCCCAACAGACCTCAGTGTATGTTGTTCCCCTCCCTGTGTCCATGTGTTCTCATTGTTCAGCTCCCACTTATAAGTGAGAACATGGGGTGTTTGGTTTTCTGTTCCTGTGTTTAGTTTGCTGAGGATAATGGCTTCCAGCTCCATCCACATCCCTGCAAAGAGTATGATCTCATTCCTTTTCATGGCTGCATAGTATTCCATGTGTATGTATGCCACAGAGTGGGAGAAAATTTTTGCAATCTATCTATCAGACAAAGGTCTAATATCCAGAGTCTACAAGGAAGTTAAACAAATTTACAAGAAAAAAAACAGTCCCATCCAAAAGCGGGCAAAAGACATGAACAGACATTTCTCAAAAGAAGACATTCATGCAGCCAACAAACATGAAAAAAAGCTCAACATCACTGATCATTAGAGAAATGCAAATCAAAACCACAATGAGATACCATCTCACACCAGACACAATGGCCATTACTAAAAAGTCAAGAAACAACAGATGCTGGTGAGGCTGCAGAGAAATAAGAACACTTTTACACTATTGGTGGGAATGTAAATTAGTTCAGCCATTGTGGAAGACAGTATGGCGATTCCTCAAACATCTAAACCAGTAATAACATTTGATCCAGGAATCCCATTCCTGGGTATATACCCAAAGAAATAGAAATCATTCTATTACAAAGATACATGCACATGTATGTTCATTGCAGCATTATTTATAATTGCTGTAACAGTTGATCAGTCTTTTCTAGAGACTGATATGAACAGAATCTTATGATGTGTACTGTTTTATGCCTGGCTTATTTCACACAGCAGAATGTGGTGTGAGTAATCCATATTGCTGAATGCATCATGAGCTCATCTTTTTAAACTGCTAGTATGACATTACAAACCTATGTTTGTAATTTAAAAAGATGATTCGTGACATGGCTGTATTTAAGTCAAGCTGTGAAGCTTGCAGGTTTTTTATTCATTCACCTGTTGATTGACATGTGTTTGAAGCTATTACGACACAGCAGTTTGGAGCTACTGTGTGTTTTATACTCCCTGTGTAAGTCTTTGTGGGGACATTTGTTTTCCTTTTACTTTGCTAAATACTTCAGTGTCCAGTTGGCATCTCATATGGTAAATTTATGTTTAACCTTGTTAGAAACTACCAAACTGTTTTCAAAAGTAGTTGTACCATTTTACATCCATAGCAGCATCATTTGTGTGCTTATTGCTCCAGATACTAAGTAATACTAAGGATTATTAGTCTTTATAACTATTCCAGGGAGTGCGTAATAATATCCACAGTTTTAATTGACACTTCTTCTGATGAACTAATGATGCTGAGCATTTTTTCATGGGCTTATTTTGCATTTCTATATTCTCTTTTGGAAGGTGTCTGTGAACTCTTAAGTTGTAAGAGTTCTGTACATATTTCAGATGTAAGTTCTTTGTCAGATATACTTATTATAAATATTTTCTTCTGATCTGCGGCTTGTCTTTTCCTAATGGTAGTTTTCAAAGAGCAGAAGTTCTAAATTTTGATAAAGTTCAATTTATCACTGTTTTTTGTTAATGGTTTATGCTTTTTGTGTCCTAAGAAATATCTGCCTAACTCAAGATTGTGAAGGTTTT